TTCTCACTTTTTAACCTTACCCTAGAGCTACTTATGAATACATTTGCATCACTCTGCAAAATATGTTCCTAATGAATAATGGCTTCTGCTTGCCTCACTCTCTCAGAATAAACTGAAGGATTCTGCTTTTCCATATTCATGAAAGACAACAAAAGGCAGTCTGCACCTATCAGGCTCCAAGGCAGAAAAGTCCACTTCCCTAATTCAACTCTCCTCCCACAAGGAAGCAGATAGGCCATGTAGAAGATGTGGAGCCAGAGTGAATGCTAAATGAATGGAAAGGAAAGGCAGGGTGCTATACCTGAAAAGAGCTAAAGAAAAGTGAGTCCTACTTAACTATACAAAATCAGCATACCATTACTGTGCACCAAGAGAACATCCTTACACCATCCCTGTCTCTCAGGTGGCCTTACCCCCTTGCCTCAAGAACGTCAGAAATCAAGCACTAATGCAATGTGGTCCTTACGCAACAGCAGTGCAGGCGTCTTACCTTGATTTTTAAGGGACAGAATTAAGAGGTAGTTCAGCAGAAAAAAATATCGTATCTCCCAACAAACAAAAAGCAGCATATACTTGTTAAGCACGGAACTCCCTTAGAGGAAGCCAAATGCTTTAAAAATTGTCCTCTTTGCTCATGCTCACAAGCAACCAAGTGTGCTGCCACAGATAGGAAAGGCAGAATAAGAAACTGTTCAACACAGGTAGCTGTGCACAGAATTACAAACACTGCCTATATAAACATAGGTTTTGTGCACATAGAAAAAATGTACATGCACGAAAGGTGAAAATGCTCTGAGAAATCTCATCCGATAGGACTAGAGCACACCAATTATATATCTTGAAGAAAGTTTAATACCTTTCAAATTCTGCAACCAACTTTTAGAGGGGACTTCTAGCAGAATTTAAGTATGTTAAAAATTGGGTACAAGAGTAGCAATTATCAAAAACTAAATACAATGGCCCGAAGTAAATCACTAAGTAACAATTGTGCTGAATACAAATGTGTCCCTCTCGTGTATATTTTCCAGGTCTCCAAATCACTGAAATTCTGCATTGGCATTCTCTTGGTTTTCTTTTTCATTTCCCACTTTCAAATTTTCCAGAAAAAATGTATACTGAGCAAGATGGATCTGGATTACATTTGCCTTTATGCAATCATTCTAATTCTGAGATGACAGTAATGACTAACAAATCTTTGGAAAGTGGGTCTTACAACACAGATAATTACACAGAAATCTTTATGTGTGTATACACACACACAAAAGCATCCATGTCATCCTTTAGATGCTGTCATGGGGAGGGGAGGGAAAAAAAAACCACAAACATATTCTCAAATGACTAATAGGACAAGATCACAGAAATTCTGACAGAACATCTGATTACTGCTTCTACAGGCAAAGCGATTGCGATTGAATGAATGCATCTCTATTGTCCAATTTCTTCCTGGCAGCATCACCACAGTTACAGAGGTCTGAAATCTACTGCTTGAATTGTTTTTGAAATCTGGACCCAGGCTTTGCATGACTCACGTGCTCATCTCTGAACAAACAGGAAGGAGCAATATCCTATATAGGAAAGATGTTTCTGTAAAGCTAATCATTAAATAACTTAGGCAGAGAGGCAGGGAAACAGTTCTCAGACAGGCAAATACGGTTCTGTTTGCCAAGCCCATTTTAATGACCTTCTTAAAGTAATAAATGTATTGCCACACATACAGCATGTATTTCCCTTCATATGATCTAGTTAAAGGAAGAGACAAGGAGTTTAACTTACATGCCTTTTTTTGCATTTTTCCCATTAAAAAAGGGGCATTTTCACAATCAGCCAGCCTTAATAGTCATAAAGTTTGGTTCATTAGACATGGAGAGGCATTAGTAACAAGGCTAACAGCCCTCAACACTATGCATGACAATTAGATCAAGTTTTCTTAATCCAAACAAGTTACAAAATTCTGGATGAATTTTGTTTAAAAGGCCTGCATGTAAGCATTTGCGCATGGCTAAAGCAGCAACCTAAGTCTTTATTAACATACTGTAAGGTATTAAAACATGGATGTTTGGGTTTTATCACTAAAAATAATTTCCTTCTAGAAGACTAATGATCTGGGCTTATAATTTGTAATTTTCTTGAATCACTGTCACTTTTAACACTGTTATATTTAGTTACGATATATTTAGTTACGATATACACTGATAGTTACGATAACACTGATATATTTAGTTACGATATACCCCCTGTATTTGGATGGAGACAGGAGGCTCACTAATGAATTACCCTGATCAGCTTTTCTCTTGAAGCCTGTAAATGGGACACAGCATTTAAAATGCCTTGTTTAACATGGATCGTAGCTTACTAAATAATAAATTAAAGATTCATCACCATCTTCTGCTATTCTTGAAAACCTCCAGTGATAAAAGAGATTTAACCCATTTGCTTTGCCCTTTAGTCTTCATTTACCTGTCAGGATGAATAGTAGAGAGCACAAAGACAAGGAGAATGACATCCAGGATCTCATCTGGAAAAGGATAGGGTAAAGCATCATCACACACATCATGAACAAAGGCAGAACACCAGGCTGAATTGTAGGACGAATGTGACTGTCAGGAAAAAGATGAAAAGAGGCACAGAGAGAACAGTAGTAGTTAATACATTTACTATGACTCAAGAAACTTTTTTCCTTCAATTATTCAGCATTGTAAAACATCTCATATAAAAGCCTATTCTGTCTGGTATCTTACTCAAGCTGAGAAGCAAGCTCACTGATGGTATTCATTCCTCTCCGCACAGAGTAAGACTTTGTTCTTTGGAATACTGAAAACTTCAGTTAAAAGTTGTCAAAGCCACCACATTCTTTTTCATGAAGACGGCTTCCTGGCAGCCTCCTGAATTACAGGCTTATAAGGTACTCAAAAGTGAGCATATGAATTACCTTTACCAGCTCCACTGCTCCTGAAGCAAAATCACAACAGTATAGAAAGGTTCCAGGCGTATTGCTAGGAAAACAAAACCAAGATCAGTTAAAAAATTATTATTGTAAAAGATGAAAGTCTACATCTGTGTTCATGGAACTACAGAGGGCCCTTTGGGGTTCTCCACAGGTTTGATCAAACATGCCTTATTGATGTCTAGCACATGGAAAGCCACATAGGTTGTAATGAACCAATAGGGCAGACAAATTCATAAGAATACCAACAGGCAGTTAGTACAAAAAAAGAGAATTATAGCTTTGTCAAGGGGGAAGTGAAAAGGAAAAGAAAGAAGGTCACAGAAGGCTGTCAGGATTGATGACAATGTCCTGGTGTACGAAATAAATGCACATTAATAGGTCACATTTTCTTACAGAAGCACTGCATTAAGTCTCTATCATCAGCACATATATTGCTAACTAAACTGCACAGGATTCAGGCAGGGGTGGAGTATTGCAAGAGTCATCCACAGTTCTGTAGAGTTCGGGCTCCCACGTGCCACCTTGCTGTGCTTTTGATTAGATTAAGCAGTACTGGTTGTTTCCCTCCATTATCCCCTTTGTTTTGTAAGCCAAGATGAATAAGAATTTCCTGTAGCACTGTGTTTCCTTCCTCTCCCATCCAAGACTAAGCCAGCTGCAAATTTCCTTGTACCATTCATCAGATACTAGTAACTCTAGGGAGAAATATTTTTCACCTCCAAAAAAATCATTTAAGAGAAATTGAGCAAGCCCCTCAAAATCTACTGAGGGATGACCTCATGGTCCACTCACAATCAATTAATGTGTCTTTAAAAATATTTGAGATTTTGGGCAGATGGTTTCTTTAGAAAGGGAATCAATAAATTCTGGCAGTGCCTATAAAATCTCACAGTATACACAGCTGAGTTAGTGACCTCTCTTTGTGGGCTCAACAGGAGAACCCTCATGGACCAAAATATCTTCTGTCCTTGCTGCTGAGCAAAACTTTTATCAGCTCTGTGCCCACCATGAGAGTTGGTGAGTTTAGATATTTATCATGGATGATGACAAGCAGCCAGGCTTTGGACCCAGCCAGTCCCTTGGGAAAGGTTAAGCTGATCACCTAACTGACTTATTAGGATGTTATTTTAATTATTTTAGAGCAGAATAGGAGCTCTATAGAAAGTCAACTCACAACAAAGACACAGCTTGATGTGGATGGTGATTTCATGATGCACTGTATTAAAAGCAGTAACTTAAATTTTAAGGGGGGCAGGTGGAAGCAGTTTAGAAGTTATGTTACAAACCTAAGTGAACAATTTTTTTCATAGTCAGGGTACACTCATACTTGATAGTGGCTTCTTTTCATATGCATACAAAAGGCATTTTTTATATTATTAAATTCAGAGTAAACCCAACTGTGCTATAAAGCCAGGCCTGCTAAGAGACAAGAGATGTTTCCATCAGGTCATATACAAGACAAACGTGAGTTGTTCAATGTACCAACCAATGTGATAGACTGAAGGATTTGCATAAGAATAGAGATCTCCAGGAAAAATACCTAATGAGTGGATTCTTAATTATTAGAAATGCCAACCTATTACTAATACCTTCTGTGAGGAAAACACAAAAGTTTGTCTCATCTTTTTTAACACAGACACATGATATCTTTCCCCTGTACAGCGTTACTTTCCAAACTTTTCAGATGAAACAGGGCTCCCCTGTCATTATACACTGTCTAAAGCAAAGCATTTGTTTTGGGATGAAGATGCATTGCTTACACTAATAGGTTTCATGTATGATTCTGGTGCAACACTCAATGCCTCCTGCTCTCTGTTTCCATATCCACAAAATGGGGTGTTTTTGTATAGTGGTGATGCTAGCAATCAGAATTAATTTATAAAATAACAAACTGTGATGTACTCAAGCTCTTGGAGGCAGGAATAAAAAGAAGTCTGTTTCAACCCTTGATACATATGCATCCTTTTCAATAAAACCTTCCTGCCTACATGGAGAAGAGGAGGCTCCGGGGTGACCTTATAGCGGTCTTCCAGTACCTCAGGGGGGCCTACAAGAAAGATGGGAAGAGGCTGTTCAGGAGGGCCAGTTGTGATAGGACAAGGGGTAATGGTTTTAAAACAGAGGGAGGTAGATTCAGGTTGGATATTAGGAAAAAATTTTTTACCATGAGAGTTGTAGAACACTGGAACAGGTTGTCCAGAGAGGTGGTGGATGCTCCATCCCTGGAGATGTTCAAGGCCAGGTTGGATAAGGCCCTGAGCAACCTGATCTAGTTGGAGATATCCCTGTTCCTTGCAGGGGGGTTGGACTAGATGACCTTTGAAGGTCCCTTCCAGCCCTAACCATTCTATGATTCTATGATTCTATGGAAGGGAGGACATGCTGTCGTAATAGATTTTGCTAAAACCAGAAGCTAAGTGAATTAAGATGTTTCAGAGAACTAAGTAATGCAATACAGGACTCGTGCCTTCCTTGACACTAAAACCTGAAGCAACACGACAAAGCGTACCAGCCAAATTCAGAAATAATACAACTTCTTACCAGTAGATCACATGCCATTATCTACTGTTTCTAATTTTGGCCTTTTGAAGAGGTATCTGGTAGCTTCACAGTGACATATAAAACAAGAGAATATTTCACCTGCCTGAGATCAACTACAGGAAATCAGTCTGAATGCACCTGAAGACAAACCTTGTCAGCAAATATGGTAGCCCCCAAGACTAGAGTTGACCAGTAAGAGGAGTATCTTGTACTGATGCTACCAACGTTATCCGTGGTCTGCAAGTAGTCAGCATTTCAAGGCTGTAAAACAGACCACTCAACACTGGTGAGTTCTTGCAGCACTGGTCTAGCACCAACATTTGAAGCAAATGAAGACGAGAAAAGAACTTTCATAGTTGAAAACCCAGCACTACATACCATAGAACTTTCAAAATAGGAAAGACACTGTTTCCAGCACCACAACCAACCTAAAATCAGAAGAGAAAAAAAAGTTAAAACAAATTACTAAACAAAACCTCATATTTTTTTTTAATTTTTGTCTTAAATTAGTTGGTAGGTAGGACCCACTAGACTTGAAGGTATGTTGGACAGAAAAGGTATAAACAGTTCATACCACAATTCTCAAACGCCTTCTATGATCACATTTCTCTTCTATGTCTTTCTAAAGTTAAGAGAGAATCCATCTCTCAAACTGCATAGGAAAATGCAATATTCTTGTCTGATTTCATCATTTGGCAAGAATGTGTCAAGTACTTGCACTTTAAGACAGAGCACTTTGAGACAGAATTTTCCTTAGGAAATTAGAAACCCAACTTCCAGTGAAATCAGAATCTGACAATCTAGCCCTAAATTCTGATTTGGGAGAAACTTTAAAGGAAAAACAAAACTCAGATCTAGATTTCTTTGAAAGTTTCTGCTATAAATGAATGTAGTACGTCAAATTCTAAATGTTTACTTTCTTGATACTTACTATCTTTATCAGGCTTTTAAGCAACTAAGAGGAGTTGTATATGATGGGTAGAACTTTTGCAGTGCATTACCTCTAATATTCTGTAAGTGGCATCACTACCAGGGAAGGATTCTGGCCTGCCAAGTTCTTCTCCACTGTTTTTACCTTGAGGATTGTCAGTAAGAGATTTTGCTTGGTTTTTATTATATACATATCCTTGTACAGAAGTAGAACCACCTCCATAATTTTTCTTCCAATATTTTTCTCCTTTCTCAAACATTTCATTGTTGTGTGAAAAAGTGTTGGTACTATTTATTTTTGTGTGTTTTGAAGATCTTTCTTCTGTTTTCAACTCTTCTCTTCTGTTTTTTGGAAGAATTTCTGGAAACTCCAGAAACAGCCAATTGCGATCCTTGAAGAAGTTATTTTTATGAGTCTTGTAAAATTCATTCCAATATTTACTAGCTTCTCTGTCATATTTATCTGAAATTAAAACAAAACAAAAGCTTGGTGAATATGAGCTTAGCTACAAAATACTGTAAAGCAACATGGAATTTGGAGCCCAAATTTACAGGTTAAACATCCATAGTTTCCCGCCTTGTACACGTTTAAATAAAAATATAAGGATTTGGGGTCTTACCTTAATCTATGTTCAAAATAACTCGCATGAGGGTTTAATTAGATTTTATGTCACTTCAGACGGGGCAGACAGGCTTTCTGCATCATCTTTTTTTTTTTTTTTAATAAATGTAGCGACATAATAGAACAGCATCACTAAAACACTCAATCATAAGTTTCTTAGACAAGCTTTCATGTCTCAAATTATAAAAGCAATGTATCTTTTCAATTAAATGTTCTCCATGATTTTCCTATTTAAAAAATACTAAATTGAAATTAATTTCATTATTTATGAAACCCTGTGAACAACTGCAAATATGTTGGTAGCTAGTCATCTTTCAAAAAAGCCATCAATTAGAAATCCAGTTTTGTGAACTGGAGTGGTAAGTGCTACTGCATAGCCAACAGATAGCAATTTACTCTTAACCATTTAACAATGCCGTTTTGACAGAAAATAACAATATAGTGAAAAGCAACATATTGGCTTTGTTACTTTCAAAACACTTCGGACAGTTTTACAACTGACCTTTGTGTTAACTTTTAATTCACAAAACATTCCAACTGAATGTTAGAACCTCAAAGAACAGGACTGGAAGGGATGTCACCCAGTTAGGGAATTCATACCCCTTCTCCACAGAAATTTGTCCAACTTGTTCTTAAAAATATCACCTTTCATATAGGTTTGACAACGTTCTTCAGTAATATATCACAGTCCTTCACCATCTGTACAGTTTGAAACCTTTTCCACTACGTAATCTGAAATTTCCTTATTGCAATTTAAGTGCATTAATTTTTGCCCCCTTAACCAAGCACATAAAGCAAAGATTACTCAACTTTTTTTGCAACACCTATTTACTTATTTGAAGTCTTTTACTTTGTCTCCCAAAAACAGTCTCTTTTCTAGGTTGTCTAAACCTAACTATTCTTTTTTCTACAGAAGTTATAATTTTTAGACTTCTGATCATTTTAATTTTTCTTCTCTAGATTCTCTCCAATTGATTTACTACTTTTTGGTATTGTATTCTGGTAAAGGCATCATCAACGCAGAGCAAAAGGAATGTTTTACGAGGCTTACAGGCTGTAATCCTGTTTATAACTCCCAGCTTGCCATTTTGCAACAGCATGACACTGCTGATTCAGCTAGTGACTCACCACAACCCTCAGATCTTCTGCAAAATTATGACCTAGCCAATTGTTCCAGAACCTAATATTTTTTTCAAGGAATTATTCCTAAGCAAAGTAGTCTGCATTTATTTTTAGCAAATTTATATCTTTCAGATCCTTTTTTTTTTTCACCATTTGTCCTGATCTTTCTGAATCCTAATCCTGTCCTTCACCATACTTGAAACATCTCTTTGCTTGATATCATCTTCAAGTCTCCCATTTCCTGAGGTCACTAATGAAAATACCAAGCAGAACTGGACACAGAACAAAATGCTTCTCTGCCCAGCACAACCTTCCATTCTGAAAGGATCTCTCTAGGCATTCCTTTACCCAAAAGCAGTTTCATTAGCTCTCGCTTGCCTAACTCGCTTATGAAAATGTCAAGTAAAGCAAGTCAGAAGCCTGACTAAGGATAAATTTCAGGACATCTGCTGTTTTTTCCTTATCCCCAGGGCTTGTAACCTTCTCCAAGAAGGAAATTAGCTTGATTTTACGTGATTTATTCCTGAAAAATATTTGTTGGCCAGTATTCATCTCCTTTGTTCTTCCAAACCCAGTGTCTGCAAGCTCTGGATTATCTCTTCAGTATTTTTCCAGGAATTGAAATTAATTCTCTGACTCTTCTCTTTTCACATCTCCTTTTTTAAAAAAAAAGGAAATATTCTCTTTTCTGCTTTCCCAGTCATCCATGTACTCTATGGATGTACTTTGTAACCTGTTCTTTCTCAGTACAAGAACAAGATTTTTCCTCCTTCTCACTAGTACTAATTGTGCTAGCCACTGGACTGCACCTAAACAGTTCAAAGGAAGGCTGATAAAAAGATAAGAATTACAGCTTTTTCAATGTCTCTTTTGTTGATGGTTTTCCTTCCTCATCCCTTCTAAGTACCAAACCAAATCTTTTTCCCCTCATTCCCAAAGCATTTACAGAACCATTACCCTTGACGTCTCTTGCTAAGTGTACATTATATAATGTGGTGCCTTTTTATTTCGTCCCTACTTGCTTACACTGACCCATTAATTCTCTTAACATAAAAACACAGAGTAAATACATGGTGCATTTCTCCTACTACTCTTACTTGAATCTTAACATACTGTTTCCTAAATTGCTACATTTTTTCGGAGATAAACAAGGCTGAGAATTATCATTAGAAGCACAGACAGGCAGTGGGAAGTGGCAAGGAGGTGGCAGAATGCCTTGTCCTAGAAATCTGCATAATTTTTTTAATTTAACATTTAATACATCCAATATTATTATTAAAGGGCAAGATCCAGCCATGCAGAGTAGTTGTACAGGCTTGTTTTATAATGTAAGTGCAGAGTTGATTGAGGTCATATATACCAGACTTCAACAGTTGCACATTCACAGATTGTTCAGCTTCAGTGTAAAAAACAAACCTTCTACTCAAAAGGTTCTTAAATCATTATCATCCTTGTTGTAGTCACTACTTTTCTACAAGTCTGCTCAGAACCCTCGTACTTAAATTCCCACCAAGTTTTCCAGATTTCAGAACTGAAGGAAAGCAATGGCTAAAGTCAGCCTTTCAAATTGTATTAGTCTGGTACTACACAGGTTCAAGTGAAAGAACGCTTTACTTTCCCGTCTTTCACTGGTCACTCCTGCACCACTGTGTAATAACCATGCATGCACTATTATTACCAATTTTTTGTTTTGTTTTGTATATTTAAGTAACCTGACTACTAAATTTTCCAAAGCATGTAAAAATGACGAAACTAGTAAACATATAAACTTATGAGACAAAAAAAATCCCTTACTTAGTCAACTGATTTTTCTCCTTAACAGAATCCTTCACACACTAGCAGGCATGCCTGAGAAGAAAATGGACATGCTAATAAGCAAACCAAATTCCTAAAAGTAGTATCATGAGCTCCTTCAGTTTAACTTCTCTTGACTTACCGAGGCTCACCAGAACTATTCTATTTTAGTGATATAATAGAATTGTTGAAATCTGTCTTGTCTTTTTTCCCTTACTGTAGTTTCTGAGGCCCCAAAATAACCTGCTCATTAGCTTCAGTCTAGTTCATTGTTCATATAAATAGGCCAAAATGTACTTCCACTTGCAGAATGAAGCTGAAACTTTCTGAAGGAACACTATCAGCAATGCTCACCTATCCAAGTTCTAAACAGAGAGGCATTCATAGGAAATGTGCTTGGATTCTTGTATTTCTTGGCAATAGACAAATGCCTGATTATTCCATTTCTCACCAGCACACACTAAATTCTAATTGATTGTAGATGAAGAATGAAAAGTTCAATGAGCTACATGGTTACACAGCTTACTTTTCAACTATGAGCTCTTTTTTCAACTTTTTATACAAATCAAATTAAAATACTAGATGTTATTTTTGAAAACAACATTATTCTCCTGTATTCAGATAAAGAATGTGAGAAGTAACAGAAAAGGGCAGGATGACAATCCCAGAGCATTCAAAGAGATGAAGGACACACAGTCCAAGACACATTCACAGGTAATTCAAATAAACTCCAACACTTGCCCTGGTTACGTCAATGAAACCGAGCACAGGATCATAACAACACTATCTAATTTGACAGGTTCAAGACACACTAAATAAACTGAAGCCCAGGACATCCAAGTAATTGTTTTCAGAATATTGTTCTAATAGGGAATAAACTAAGAATCCAGTCTTCTATGTTACTATCAAGTTGATACTCCAGCTTTAGCATACATAACTATCCTAGAGTTCAGTCTAGGATTTAGTTTGCCAATTTGAACCTAGAGCTATCACTCTTCAGAAATGCAGAATACATTAAGTTTACCCTTTAAAGACATGCATGAAATTCTTTAATCATTTACAGAGCAGACTCTGTATGATGTACTGTAACACCTTCCCCACAAAGTAAGCACACTGCTTCCTGAAGCACTCTCAGCTCAGCCTGGCCAAGGCAGCAAGCTGGGACCAGCTGGGACCAGTGCAAATTTCATGGCACTCAACTGAAACATGGTGCAATGTACAAACACTAGCTCTCTAAACAGTCCACAAAACATTAAAAAGCATTTGAGTTTTCTACATGGAACTTTCATCCCCAGCACCCTAGCTGGCTGCAAATTCCATTCCCTCTGATGATGTAACACTCCTGTGCAGTAGGAGTTTTATTCTGAAGAACTGCAAGAGAAGCCAGAACTTGCAACTGCACCATGTTGATGTACTCGTCTTACCTAGTGCCTATTGCCCCCTTCAAATGCAAAATTGCTCAAATAAGTAACTGAATTGCTAGAAAAACACACTTTGAGACAATCTTTTGAGGTAACAAAAAAAAAAACCACAAACAAAGCAACAAATTTAGATAAGAGAACACAGAAATAAAAAAAGCGTTCCTGGATTTTAAAGCATCTTTAAATGCTTTAATAAATAGCATTAAAATAAGAATTTTTAAGCCAATATGAATTGTTACCTTGGTCTTCCCATTGGACTTTCACAAGTGAGTTTTCTGCCGCTTTTTCCTTGGCACTCTCTTCTTCTTCTTGTGACCACTGCATGTGGTCCCTGCAAAAGGCAGTTGAAGAATCAGCCTTTAAATACAATTTTCCATAATCTTTTTTTCCTGCAAGTGTTCCTACATCTATGCTATCTATATTTGTGTAAAGTAGTTCACTACATGTTGTATTAATTCATTAAACAGTCACAGAACCAAGATCTGGTGCTGCTGGCAGCTTCTAAAAGCAAATCAGCTGTCCCTTCAAATTGTCCAGTCTGAACAGTTTTAGAAATCAGATTAGATTAGATAATATAATTTAAGTAATCTGTTAGATCCTAATCCTACTGAAATTAACTAACTGAAAGCCTACGACTAAAATTCCTTTGGTTACTATGGGAAAAGGAACAAGGTGCCACTTTGAAAAGGGTTGATTGTCTCTAAAAGCTAATGAGCATCTTCCTGTTCCATGCATGGTGACATATAGGTAATTTAATTCTTAGACCTTCACTGTTCCTCTTTCGTTAATTGTGGGAGACTAATTGGTATGTATTTGTCTGCTTGCCTCAGACTTGATTTCCGCATCTCTACTGAAATATTTCTCATTATTGTCCCCAGCAGGTTGCCTCTCCCCTTCCTGTATTTGTTCGTATACCAAATGTTCCTGTGCAGTGTCAAGGCTCTGACAGACGTGCTGTAGGACAATAAAACTGAATGACCGAAGCATTACTAGACAGTCATCTTCTTGGAAAGACTTGCTTCCCTCACTGCTATCACCATTTTTGACTTTGTCTATTCTAGCAAGCTGAAATCAAGGACTATTCAGATGGCAATATCTGTCAGAAGGGCTGACTCTATGACTTGCTGTGGTATAAGCTTTAGCCGATCAATTGTAATTCATCATTGTGTGTCTGTCAGAGCCCTTAAGGGCTTTTTTTCCTCTTGTCCCTCCTTAGAAATTCATAAAGCTGAAGAAAGATTTCTTCGCTCTTTCCTAGAAATTACTATATGGAAGACTCCAAACAACAGGATTGCAGCAGCACTTGTTGATCAAAATCTGCAAAAGAGGGGACAGCATAATTCTTATGCAAAGTATTTACATAGTTTGGATGCTTCAAATGAGGCAGCTCCTTCAGCAATACAAGCTGGCAGAAACACAGGATACAGAAGAATTCTACGCACAGAAGTGTTTAAATACATAAGGGTTTTAAGCTCAACACTGAGAGCAGCAAAGCAAGCTATCCGTTTTAACCACATCAGAAAGTGTTGACGTGAGGAGACCTGACATGAGATCAAGCAATGCTACTTTCAGTTCAGCTTATTCAACTTAGCCCTTTTCCATTAACTTGTTTGCTAACATAGGTTTTAATTATTCCTGAAAACTAACACGTGAAAACTATGCCAATTACTAACCTGAAGAGAAGCAGACATTTTTTGCTCCAATGTTTAGCATCATTCATTACTTCTCTCTCAAAATGAGAGAAAAGCACCTCAGCAAATATCTAAAGCATTAGTTCCCAAATTTAATATGCTTAGCATTCCTAGCAGCAAAGGTAGCAGCTCTTGGCTCCCTGTCAATTCACACACAGGCAAACAGAAGGATGCCACTTTATGAAGTACTGAAGACAAGTGGAAAACAAAAGGACATAAATCCTCATACATCAATGCTAGGGAAGATGTATCTCTTATGCTCACCCTGTATGATCTATTTTTCTCAACCACCACTCATCCCGATCCCCTTTATCTCTCTACTGAGAACCCTGATGATTCAGCCAGCTTCAGATCCAAGGACCTCAACCCACTTCATAGCCAGGTTCTTGATTTATCAAGACCTTTGCAACTTCCACGCAGCCTCTGCTCCAACTCAGTTTCACCTGTTTTCCTTTGTGAGCTACGTGGATTGATCTGCAGATCCACTTTCTGGGCAATCCTGTT